TTCTATTTTATCGTTATTCCACCTAATCGAACATGACTATATGAGGTTGATATCCTTCCTATAAATAGGTGAAGGCAGGATGTCATTGCAAAATCCGAATATCCAAGAATCAGGAACTATGAACAAAACGTTAAAGGACCCTCTTGTCCTCCGGGGAAACTGTAATTAGCCTTTACAAAATTTAATAAAATCTTGTGCCTTTTAGAAATATCAAGCAGACATCACTCAAGTCAATTGAGATTTAATATTCAATAACAATTAATTACTAGTTTGTTTCTTAATATATAAACTAGATAATTAATTTTAAAAATTTTAGAAATTAATTAAGTTAGTTATTTATAAATTATAATTATAATGGAGATAAAGTTTCTTTTTGATCAGGAAGTTTTCATTGAGAAGCTATCAGCATCTAAAAGTTTTATTTGGGGTAATATCGTCCTAAAAGTCTACAAAATATAGAACTAGGTGATCGTTTATGCTAATGTGGTATACTTAGGTGGCGTCCATTTCACTCTTTTCCGCCAACTCCAATTCGTTACTTGCTTTTATATAAAATAAGAGAGGGAAATAAAATAATAATGAGAAAAAGTATGAAAAAGAATATAGTATGATAAGTTGTCAACTTTTTAATGTAATATGGATTATAAATTAATTAGGGGCAAAAATGTTAAAAACACATTAGTTGTTCAAACAATCTCAATGAGACTCTTATAAAGAAGACCAAGACAATCCAAATTTTAGATTATTATAAAAAGCAACGGAGGGAGTGATTAACATAAGGGACATTGACAAAAAAAAAAGACCCTGTACATTGCAAAATCCTAAATCAAGATTTGTGACAATACTAATAGATTTTGACAACAATTGAACTGCAAATAATAACATATTTTTGTAAAAATATCTAATTTGGGATTTTGCAATTTTCAAGGCTTTTTTTTTTGTCATTCTTCCTTAATAAATTTAACTAAACAATTTTAACTTTAAAAATCCTTTCATAATTTTTTTTGCCAACAATTTATTCAATAATATTAGCAATTATAGTTACGGTTAATAATATTAAAAAAAAAACATACATGTGAAAAAGAATCTAACTTGATGATCCGCCTCCGAGAACCTCCTGGTTAATTGGGTCCTTAACGCGGGTTGATAATTAATTTCACACAATCAAGTCTGAAACGAAATGATCATGAATTAGGAACCAAAAATGATATTAATTAATTGGTTGAGAGATTTTTATTTTTTGATTATGCCTCTGGCGAGAGTTTTTTGGTCCGTCCCTATGTAGGTGCGTGTCATTTTTTTGTTATTGGCGGACTGTAACCCTTAGCTTTTTAATTAAAATTACTTAGAAATACAATTTACGTAAATTAAGAACTATTTCAAACTTATCCTCCACATGCACAAACGCTATAATAATTTATTATGAAATAAATCAGGTGAACACCGTAGAGCTTGCTGGGACAGGAACCTTATTGAACACTGGAATTTCTTTTCTGACTCTAGCCTGCAGGTTAATAGTGCCAACTACGCCCTGGAAAACCACGTTACTAAGGAAGTAGATGGCTCTGTTCTTACGGATGCCAGGAGTAGCCGTGAAGTGGTCATGAAAGACGAGGATTAGTGGATTCAGCTGCAAGTTAACCTCAGTTCCTTCCGCAATAGCGGAACTACATCAATGGTTTGTATTTGTGTTGGAATAGATGGTACGGGAAGATTTTAGATTGTATTTGGTACGAAGTATTGAAAATTAATAATAAAAATTGGGATTGGGATAAAAAAAATCTATGAAGATAGTATTTAGCATGAAAGAGAATCTTTGGATTATGTGAATGTTATTGATTTGTGTAATCAGGAATGGGATTTAGAACACCCTTTTAAAGATATTATTCAGGCTAGTGCATGTGTGGCGCAGTGGCATGATAGCCACCTGTTGGTTGGATCCCTGCCTGCAAGCTTTGCTTGCCTACTCAAAAAACAAAAAAAAAGATATTATTCAGGATGCGAGAGTCATAATCGGTATATAGACCCGCAGGTTTTAATTAGACGTGCGGATGGAGAACATTTGATGGTTATTGATTGGTTGGTGAAAGCCTCTCACAAGTTAGACGATAACTTTTATTTTTAATCAATCTCCACCTCAAATTCATGAGGCTACATCTTAATCAAAAGAAGTTGTTTTCGTGCTGTTGTTACCTTTTTTTTTTTTTTGATGAAACATCATACTAACCACCGGCGGACCCGGTGACTAATTCCTCCACTGGTTTGTAGGTATCTCGATAGGTGGGACAGCTGGCTCGGGGTTTTAAAGCTTTTCCATACCTAAAACAAAGATCGAACTTTCGACACTTGGTTAAGGGAGGATGAGCCTCGACCGCTCAACCACACCCCCGGGTTGTGCTGTTGTTACCTTTGTTTAGTAAGTATTATTCAAAAAAAATGGGTGAAAGAAAAAATAACAAAGAAAACATCAGTTGAATTTTAAAAAGATAAATAAATCATACTTATTATTTTTATAATATTTTTTACTACTCTTATAACAATTTTAAGATGTCAAAATGTATCAAAACAATCATCTTAAAATTTAACAGATATTTTTTCCCGTAATTTCTTCATGTATATGCGTGTGTAACAATGACGAAAGACTTGACAAAAAAAAAAAACTATGACGAAAGACATTTAATCATGGGAAAATTACGCACAGGTCCCATAGAAGAGAGTTTATTCATTTAAGGTCCCATAAAATATCCAAATTATTGACAGGTCCCAAGGGACCTCAGAGTAATATATTCTATTTGTAAAATGACATTACTGCCCTTCACATTTCAAATTCACATTTGCTCTGTCATTGCGATTTATAACCTAAGCAGCGACTATTAACAACCCAATGAAAAAGCGTTAACAACCTAAGCAGTATCCGTTAACAACTTACTTTATAAAATCATATAACCTCCACATAAGAGTAAATTATAACCAAATAGGATAATACAACAACTTTAACATTAAAATGGGAAGCTTTTTGATATCATTAAGAATTTTAAGTAAACCCAATAGGATTATAGTAAAATTTTAATGCGAAGATCCATTGATAACCTCAACGGTGAGTATTAATAACCTAAGGAGAACTGTTAACAACCTTAGCAATGTTTGTTAATAACTGACTTTATCGGATAATATAATCTCTAACTATAACTAACTAAATTATAACTAAATAGTGTTAAAGTTAATCTTATATAGTTGTTAGAGATTATATTATCCTATAAAGTCAGTTGTTAATAGACACTGCCTAGATTGTCAACAGCTCTATTTGGGTTATTAATACTCACCGTTAAGGTTGTTAATGGATCTCCGCATTAAAATTTTGCTATAATCCTATTTGGTTTAGTTAAAATTCTTAATGATATCAAAAAGCTTCCCATTTTAGTGTTAAAGTTGTTGTATTATGCTATTTGGTTATAATTTACTCTTATGTGGATATTATATGATTCTATAAAGTAAGTTGTTAACGGGTACTACTTAGGTTGTTAACACCTTTTCATTATGTTGTTAATAATCGCTGCTGAGGTTGTAAATCGCAATGACAGAGCAAATGTGAATTTGGAATGTGAGGGACAATAATGTCATTTTACAAATAGAATATATTATTCTGAGGTCCCTTGGGACCTGTCAGTAATTTTGACATTTCGTGGAACCTTAAATAAATAAAATTTCTTCTGTGGGACCTGTACATAATTTTCCTTTTAATCATTTATATCAAAATGTAATTTTATTACGATCCTTTAACACTACAGTGAAACTTCACGATTTTTCGTGACCAAGAAGCAACTCGTCATGTAGGGCCCTCTCATTCCTTGGGCAATTAATTTCCTCCCTGCACCCTCTATTATGGGTAGAGGTCCTAAATGTGTTTCAATTAACGAACTCCTGCCATCTGTCAAGTTCATCATAACTCCTCCCATCTATCAAGTTCATCAAGGCATTAGATGTAGGCTGTTCAATCTGATTTCAACAGTAAAAATTTAATATTTTTAATTAATATTTTTAAATTTAAAAAATTAGAAAATAATTTGACAACCAAAACCAAGAGAAAAAAAAATAACTTGGTACTAAACCGGTTTAAATAGTAATTTAAGGATTAATGAATTAGATTGGGATTAACTCCGGATCAGATTGATTATGTTCAAATAATATAATTTAATTAACAGTAATAATAAAATAAAACATTGATTATCATAATATCAAAATGTACAAAAAAATCATAAAATATATAACAGAAATAACTTTTTATTTATCCAAACAAAAGAGGGCATGAAAGGAGGCTGGTAGATTATGGCTACTAAGTGGCCACGCACACTATGTCAGAGAGAGGCTCAGGCAAAAATTTGGAGGCCACACATTAGAGTCACGATTTCTTTTCTTTCTTTTCAAATTCCAGTTCAAATCTCTCGTCGGTACACTCTGCTTCTAATTTTTCCAGTATCTCTCTTTTGTAGCCTTCACGCTTCACCCTCGTAAAATTATTTACTTTTTTTCCATGCTTTCTATTTATAAAAAAAAAAAAAAAAACTTCTCCACTTCATCTTCTATCATAATTCTTCAATGCTCTTTCATGGTAAGATGGTCTTTATCATCTCATCTTTCATTTTTCTTCTTTCTTTCTTTCCTTCTTCTTCCCTCTTCGATTAACTTTCTTCTTAGGATGTCTGCCTCTCTTTTGAGTCATGACATTATTTTTATTTTAAATTTCATATTTATTAAAATAATTATTTTAAATAAAAAATAAAAAAATTAAATTTGTACCATCAAAATCATTTTTTAAACGACGTTTAGCTAATCTCAAAAGTATTTTTCAGAAGTATTTTTTCGTAAATCGAAATAAATTCCTCCACATATTTATTTTGTATACCGTAAAAATACTTCTAAAAAAACTGTAGTTTTGTTATTAGCCAAATTCTCCCCTAACATGATCCTTCAGTGATTTCGTTCCTTCGCAAGGTAAAAAGAGATATTTTGTTCCTCACGACCCTTTTGTGTACGCGTGTGTATAAATCGTCTGCTGAGCAATTGTAAGCAGAAAACAGCAGCCACGTCATCCCATGGAAGCCATTCGAGTGATCTCCGCAACTACAGTTCAAGCTCGAGGCCATGTTAATAATGGCGACTCACCACAGCTAATCGACCTGAATCCATGGGATCTTCAGTATCTAATGCTTGAGCATGCTCAAAAGGGACTTCTTTATCCTAAACCCACCTCATCATCACCGTTCGAACGCGAAGAGACACTGATCCAGCACTTGAAGGATTCCCTTTCTTCGGCCCTCGACTTCTACCCACCCCTCGCCGGCCGTCTTGCCATCATACCCAACGATGACGACGACGACACCTCCTCCGTCTTCATCACTTGCAACAATGCCGGAGTAAGCTTCATTCATGCCATTGCAGAGAATACTACAGTTGCAGATATTGTTGGGCCTACTTATGTTCCTCAGGTTCTCTACTCCTTTTTTCCAACCGGAAATTTGAAGAATTTTGAAGGAACTCAGTTCCCATTAATGGTGGTTCAAGTCACGGAGCTAGTGGATGGCATCTTCGTTGCTGCCTCGACAAACCATTGTCTTGCTGATGTGAAGCCAGGTTGGGATTTCTGGAATGCATGGGCAGGATTCTCCAAAAACGGTTTGAATCATATAGGGTTGGATTCAAAGCTCGCCACATTCGATCGATGGTTTCCTCATGGTCATATTAAACGGCCCTTGCGAATTCCATTTAAAGAAATGATGGAAAATTATCATAAGGCGTCCACTGATTTGGTTCAACCACCTCCATTCTCTAGGAGGATCTTTCACTTTAAGAGGGAGAAAATTGCTGAACTCAAAGCAAAAGCCAACTCAGAAGTAGAGGAAGGAGTCATCAGCAACAAAATCTCATCCTTGCAAGCTGTTCTTGGACATGTTTGGAGGTCTGCAATCAGAAATCAGAATCTTGATCCAGAAGAGGAAGTCTCTTACAGATTCCTCATATCTGCTAGATCCAGAGTTTCTCACCCGCCAATTCCAGATGATTATTTTGGAATCACCGTGCAATTCACTACTGTGACGATGAAAGTAAGGGACTTGGTGGGAGATGGAGGCCTTGGAAAGTTTGCTTCAGAGATGAACAAGGCAATCTCGTCATGCACAGAAGAGAAGATCAAGAGTGACTTTGAAGCCTGGGTACGAAATCCAACAATGCGTACGCAGCGTGCCCCAATAATTGGGAAGTTTATGGCTACCAGCAGTTCCCCGAGAACCAACTTTTATGAGATCGATTTCGGGTGGGGAAAGCCGGTGGCCGTTCGCCTCGGCCCTGCCAATACAAAGTGTTGGAAGTTAGCGGCAGATGCCGGAGCCGAAGAAGGAAGTTTCGACTTTGAGATGTGTGCTTCCTATGAGATACTGGAAGCCATGGGGAAGGACCCTGAGTTCATGCATATGGTGTCGCTGCCACCTCCACCATCCATGGCGGTTATCCAATGAGCAAGCATAGACTTGGACTGTGATCGAAGGAGACTCCGTCGTAATGCTTTTTGTGTGTCCTTTTCATGGTTTTGTTCAGTGAGTGCTTTGAACATATTACGTTGTTTGCCTTATTGGACTGTAGTTTTTGAATGTGTTATAAGTATGTGTGTTTGTATTGTCTTTTAATTATAAAATTTTTGTTTGATTGTGAATGAATGTTTCCATTTTCAATTAACCATATGATTCGAGTTTGCTTAGCCAGAGGATATATATATATACTTTTGAATCTTAATATAAGATTTATTTAACTAATTTATTAAATTAAGAAAATTAGGTAAGTTAGTTAATTATAAGAAATGTGACACGTCATAATCATCTTTCTTAATACCTGATCTCCTTCTTCTACTTGATTATAGTTGAAGGAGTATCTACAGGGATAATTTAGAAAAAATTAATAAATATGAAAAATAGGTATTATATTTAGCATCAAAACCAACTTAATAATTAGGTTTTGTATTAAGAACCAGAGAAGTACATGTTTTTGTCAGAGAAGACAATAAAAGATTAGAGCCATTTTAGGTACTTCCATGATATTCTAATACTACCTTTGCTATTTAGTATGAGATCTCATTTTTTTTATTTTGATCATAAATAAAAAACGTCAATCCATTTTATCTCTATGTCTTTTAATAATGTTAATTTAGCCAATATATCTGATTAGTAAAGATATTTCAAGAAAAATAATACCTATTTTTTATAAATAATTAATTTAATTTTTTTATTTTTTTTAAATTAATCAACTAAAATCCGTGACATTTTAAATCTCTTATATTCTCTCTCATACTTATGTACATCCCTCGTCTTAGCACCTCACCTATTCCCTCTCTCTCATTCGACACGTCACGCCCACCCCCTTTCTCTGGTACAGGTGCTTCTCTTCCCTCCTTCACACGTCACTCCCACCCCCTTGTCTGGTACAGGTACTTCTCTTCCCTCCTTCACACCTGTGTTGCACAAATTTTAAGATGATTTCTTTTCATTCAACAAATTTTATTTACCTTGATATTTATATTAAAAAATATATAATTATAATTTTATATATTTATAATTTTGATATATACGAATCTATTAAATTTAGAGGGCGTGAGGTGTGACATGTCGGCTGACAGATGCTATAAAGTTGCTTCACATGGCATTATATCATTGGTCACATATAGGTCACGTGATGTTCTCGGAGTACCTTATACCTAAGAATTTCTCTAAAAGATAGTGCTATGCTGCTTTTGATCCCCAGTTTAGGTCACTTTAACAAATTCATCATAATTAAAAAATATAGTTATCTCATTAAATATGTCAAGTTGAAAATTTTTCTCTTACTTTACCCACATTAAATGAGATTGAAAAGGAGAGAGAAAAATATAAAGATTTCTTACATTTAAATATTAATTATAAGATAAAATTGCTGGTCAAAAAAATTATAAGAATAAAAATTGATAGACAAAAATTAATTAAATTATTTCTACGTTGAATCAAGTTATTTTTTCTATGACTGCAGGGAGTATGTTCTTATGGTAACTTTTGGCATCGTCAATCTTTATTTAACATTTATTATGTATTAAAGCTGTATACATGTTTTTAATGAAAAGGCAGGACCTAATATATATGTGTTTAACTTTCGACCGAAAAAATGTATGATTTGGTTATTTATGTCTACATTAAAAAAAAAGGGTAAAGTCCTATCACTTTTTTTTTTTTTGCTACGTAAACTCCTACCACTTTTCTCTCTCCATGTTCAGACATTTTACGAAAATATATCCATTGACCATGTGACAATAATTCATCTAAAAATGTACCACCAATAGCCTGTTTTTATATATCACTGTTTCTTTTCTTGAACTTTATTTATCTATTTCAATTTCTAAATAGAAAAATACTATCTACATCTGCCAAAAAAGAAAAGAAAAGAAAAATATTATGTCTAATTCTTAATACAAAAACTAGTTGAGGAATAGATTTGATTTTAAATATATAATCTCAATGCATTTTGTCTTTCAAATTTATAATGTTTTTTATAAAATATTCTTATTAATTGTTAGGAGTTCCTATCAAGAAGTGATTCCAATACATATGATAAAATATGATAGTTTAGATACCATAGTATAACCCATAATTTGTGGATTCAACCATAGCAACTATACCCTCTCACCAAAGGAGAGGGGATTTGATTCCCTGCCCCCTTCTTGGATGGCATCCTAAAACAAGAATGTCTAAGTTAATGTCTGAGAGTATAATATAGATTCACTCTGCCAACATTAGTATCACTTAAGAGGAACCATTCAAATGTTTTGCCCTTAACTTGGGTTGAGCTGAACCCACCGAAAACTTTTGTATAAGAAAGAAAGATACCATAATATATGTTTTTTTACCTGAATATTAATTTTATTTTAAAATAAAAACATAAAAAAGTTTTTTTTAACAAAATTAATAACTTGACTTTAAAATATAATATTCTTCTATTTTCATAATTGATAGGTAATTGTAAAAGAACATATTTGAAAATTCTAATTTTTTAACTGTAAAATAAAAATAAAAACTGAACAGTGACAACAGCCCAAGAGCTCTCAAGGAATAGCATGGAGGTGATTGGCATTGACAAACAAAGAACGGTATTTTGGAATTTTCTATTTGCTTATGCAAGCTGGTTAATTTAGACCAGAAGATGCAAAAGAAACTACTGACAAGGGAAAGTTAGTTTGATCACCCTTTCCAAGTCATAGAGGTAACTAGAGATCTCTATCATAGTAATTAGTCTGCTGAAAGCAAAGGTTTTTTTCCAACCCCCTACGCAGAAGTTTTATCATGTTAGAAAAATTCTATTCGAAGCACTTTCGAGTGCTAAATATGAGTACCTCTTTTAGTAAGAATTTAAATCTTGATTAGTCATATTATAAAGAACTAGCCCCGATGCAAAAGTTTTTGTATAAGAAGTTATATTGTTTGGTGGGCTGGTAAGGTGATCTGGGCTCAACATGAATGTGGGCCTATGATTTGATCATGCCTATCCCAGGCCCAGTCTAAAGTAATTAGCGAAATACAAAGTATGGGGAAAGCCACGGCTAAATGGCGCTCTTTGACTACTGCCAAATAGCCCGAGCAATGGCAGTGGTAATAATAGCAGCAATTTTGCCTATCAATCAATTTGTACAGATACAAAATCAATAGGAATTTTTGAAAAATTATAAACTTAGAAAACAAGGTAAATTGAATTCTTATGCATAAATCTAATTAAAATAAATATTTTAATTAATTTTTACATTTAGGATCGGAAAAAGTGTTTGGGAACAGGGCACATTGCCCGCCAATGACAAATTTCAATCAACAATCAACAACTTATTAACCTATTGAGGTAATTGGAAAAATAAATGATCAACTGATTCTATCTCATTATTATAGAGAATATATTGCAAATCATCATCACTTATAGGGATTTGAAGGTCTTGGATTCTGGTCTTTGTAATAATGAGTCTCTTTTTAGACTTTAAGTTTTGAAGAAATATCTCATCAATCGATCTTACCCCCCAAATATTATCTGCTTTTGAAGAAGTATCCAAATCTGTAATGCAATATATAGCTGCCTCCTTCGAAAAATTGCAATTTTTTATTCCAAGCCCACCATGTTTCTTTAGTAATCAAGCAATTTTTCTGAATGCAGGACCTCGGATTATTGAAATTTTAACTAAAAAGAACCATGATTTTTAATTGTAATTAAAACTTTCCTGTTTACCAAAAACCATGGTATAAAAAGGCCTAAAGTGAAAACTTGGCTCTAGGAAAAAACTAAAATAAAATGAAATATAATTCGGCCAAGTTTATTCAATATACAAGAGCATAGAGTTATGCTGAAAAAGAATTAGAGCTTGCAGGGGCTAACTAACTAATTTATATATATTAAGAACATTGATTTGGCTATTTACTGTTTATTAAAAATTATGTGTTAATTTTCTTAAAATATCCATTCAATATATGAAATCAACATAAATAATGGGAGAAAAAATTATAAATTTATAAAACAAAGTAAATTGATATTTTATATTTAAAATCAAAACAAACCATTCAATTAGTTCAACTAGTTATTATATTTAACATTGTGGAAAGTAATACATAATCAAACCATCCAGCATATTCCTAAGAATATATCTTTTTGATAAGCTCCTAAAATGCTATAGAATCGTTGACCAAAACCAAAGGGGGGGGGGAAGCCATCGTGTTAGTTAAAAAATGAAATATTTTATGATCAATCAATGAAGGTTGAAATGAATCTTGTGGCAATGTACCGTATTGTGACAATAAAAAATACTCCTCCGGTCCTTAATATAAGACCAATTTAACTAATTTGATTAAATTAAGGAAGTTAGGTAAGTTGGTTAATTATAAGAAAAGTGACACATTTTTCTAAAACACCATAATCATCTTTCTTAATACCTCATCTCCCTCTTCTATTTGATTATGGTTGAGGGAGTATCCATAGGGTAGTTTAGAGAAAATTAATAAATATGAGAAATGGTCTTATATTTAGGACCAAGGGTGTGTTTGGATGAAACCAAACCGTGGTTTGGAAAAGTGATTCTGGAAAATAGATTCTGGGGAGAATAGATTCTGTGAAGAATAGATTTTGTAAAAAAGTGATTCTAAGAAGTGAGAGTGTTTGGATAGTTGTTATCAGAAGCACTTTTTATATATACAAATTACTAAAAAAAAACATAAGTTAATATGATAATTACAAAAAAAATAGATTTTATGATATATTTTAATTTGAAGGAATAAAATTGTTAATAATATATTTTTTTACCAACATAATTAATAATACATAAGATAACATAATTAATAAATAATTAATATTATATATATTTATAAAATATAATATTAAATATGTTTATAAAAAATATGTTATAAAAAAATAACAAGATACATATCCTATAGGTTCTCACACTCTCCCTTTTTTCTCCAAAAGCAAAAAATTTTGCTTTTTCCAAAACCATGGTTTTGACCCAAAACCATGGTTTTGGTTTTTAGGTAGGTGTTTGGGTGACTTCAAACCATGGTTTGGGGTGTCACCCAAACACACCCTAAACCTAACTCAACAATTGGGTCCTATATTAAGGACCGGAGGAGTACAAAATTTATATCAGAATATATATTAATCATAAGTAATACTACCTCCGGT